CAATAAGGTACCTAGTTATGAACTCTCTATCTCGTGGCAACAACTTCGGATGGCTATCAATACTGTTGCATAGGTGCTTTTATGAAGGATTTCTGGAAATAATAGACATTAGAGCTTAAGTTATAGCCCTCACATCCAACACATACATAAGGAAAAAAAAGAAAAGAAAAGTACATCAGTATGCTTCTATGAAACTCAACGTAGCATGCTTCTATGTAAATCAGGGTCAATCAGGGCTAAGCATAAATTTCAGTATCAGTTCCCATTTTGTGTTCTCCTATAGTGTAGATATGATATAAGAAGGTTCCAGGCAATTATTTGCTTTTAGCTGATCATCATACTAAAGTTATTGCTCTTAAATTTAAATCCCATATTAGTTTAAGAATTAGCTCCCCAAATTTTGAATTGTGCAGATGTGATTTGTTCAAATCTCAAAGGCCGTAAGGAAAGGTTTTATTAGGCACCTATTATCTGATTCTGTATCCATTGTGATGGGAATAGACTGCATGGGCCTTTATCAACCATTGGTTCATTCTAAACTTTAACATTTTATAGGAATTCCATAACTACATTTGATCATGGTTTTCACTCCAACTAGCTGCGGTTTTATAAAGGGTGATTATCTTGTGTATTATGTGTTGATTTCATGCATTTTACCTTTAATTTTATGAGCTAGTTTGTAATTTCAGAATGATATGATGGAGTACTTCATTTTGCATATTTTAGGTCCGATGTTCTAGGACAGTTCATGCCACTGGTTGGAAGGGATTGGACTCAATCTGGGGTAGCTGGACTTTTTTCTGCAATAAAGGTTACACGCTATGCACTAATTTGAGAAATTTGTGTATGGGCTCTTGCTGTTTTTCTATAGGCTCTCTTTGTATCTACCTAATAAATGGTTTTGAATTGGTTTTCTTTCATAAAAAATCAATGTGCTAAGAATATGTTTACATAAGTGAGTCTTTATTGTGTTAAAAATTTTGAATGCAATAGAAGAAGCAAAGAAACAAGGGTTGGATTATAAAGCATTTTGTAGATTAGTTTGCTTTTGCTACCATTGCAAACCGAGTTCCAATTTATTATGCTAACTTTGCATTGAGTCTTATTCATCTTTCATCTTCTCTCATTACAACTTATGGAACCATTTTGGTATGTTTCGACTCTTTGAAGCACCAGAAATTTCCATAGTGGATACTGTTTTAGTTCTGCTAGTAATTATCACAAGGATTTTCAATTTCGTACAGTTTGGCATGGTTTGGCCGGTATCCACTAGTCTGACTGACTTGGATGTGTAGGTCCTTGTGAGTATCTCATCTTGACCACCTTTTGCCAGTCGCTAGGTACATCACCTCCTCATCCCTTTTCTTCCTCTTCCTTCTTTGTTCTTCTTAGTCTTCTTTCTTGTTCACCCCTCACCCAGCAATACTGCAGTCTGTTTCGGCTTCAGTGTACCATATTCACGGAAATGGACCAGCAATTTGGAAAATATTATTTTCCTCATCCTTAGTACTAAGTTTATTGTAAAAATTATCATAAGCCTTGAATCTTATCATCCTTACACTCTTTTGCATCTTTTTGGTTGTTATATATCTTTCAAAGTTCTTTACATTCTTAAAATCTTGTCAATCTTTGAATCAAGATCTTTTAGTACTAATTGTTTTCTGAACTTATTTGCACCACTACCAACTCTCTTAAAATGTACTCTTAACTTCAGCGTGTGTGTGTGTGTATGTATGTATGTATGTACGTATGTATATGTACATTTATATAATATAATGTTTGTTCAGAGTTTTCTCATGTTAGTACTGTTTGTTTTGCTTTTAGGTTCATTTTTCTTAATTTACAGTATAGTATCTCTCTTAACTGGAAATCTCTCTAGGATGATTTGACACTCTCTGAAGTATATATTTGCCTGCTGCTTCTTTTGGTCAGAAAATGTATTTGCCACAGATATGGACATATGTTTATTCTGCTGTTATTTTTTGCAATGGAATAAGCACATACTTTGTGCTACGTAATATATAAAATGATGCCTTTGTCTCATTCTTGACCAGGAAAATGGCTATCAACTGCTATTCCTGAGTGCAAGGGCTATTGTTCAGGCATATCTTACTAGAAGTTTTCTTCTCAATCTTAAACAGGTATAACCATGATCACTTCAATACCTGGGTTTAACTATGTAGAATATCTTATCATGTGCCTGATTGTAATAAATGCATTGGCTCCTTGTGAGAAAGGGCTTACTTCTATTTCCAACAATTTTTGGTTCACAATTAATTGTCATTAAATTATCATAATTATTCTAAATCAATATTCTCTGAATCTCTAACTATTTTCAGGATGGGAAAGCATTACCTAATGGGCCTGTTGTAATTTCACCTGATGGATTGTTCCCTTCGCTTTATAGAGAAGGTAAATTGGTTTTTTCTTATCTTGAAGATTTTGTTTGTGGCAATGGAATTTTTGTTAAAGATCTATAGTCATTTACTTCAAATTTTAAGCTCTTCCCTCACAAGTTGAAATGGCGCAAAGACATTGATTCTCGTGAACTGTTAATCAAGCAACAGTTCTATTAGAGTCTCATCCGAGCAGCTGACTCTGCCACAGGCAATCTTCAACAGTTTCTGCTACGAATAGATTTTACTTGTATTTAGATGATATGTTGACTGTATGCATTGGTATTTTTCTTTTGTTCAATTTTTGTTGAACATGTATAGAAAAGGCTAACCAAGCATTTTTTGTCCATCATTATTGAAGACTATAAAGTTTTACCACTAATCAATACTACGGTGTTGGATCTTTTATTCCATTTTCCTAATTCCCGGATTATATCTTTGACAGTTATACGTAGAGCGCCTCATGAGTTCAAGATTGCATGTTTGGAGGTAATTATTTGCCCTAATAGATATGCATCTTCTGTTTCTTCTTTATATGAGACAAACATGTAGAATCAGTTCAACAAGAAGTGAACTTATATTTCCCCAGCATGCATGACCACCAAAATGATTTACAACAATGGCATGCATGGTTCATCTGGATATTTAGCTAGGAGAAAATTATTAGGAACATCCTTTATCACTACAAGTCTAGAAATTTGGAATTCTATTGACTGCCTATCGAGTCTGTAAATAATGGTATACATAACATCAGACAAGACTATATAGGTCTCCTCTAGCTAATTTCTAGTATAAGAGGGACAGTCTCATTCTTCTGTTATCCATGACCAGAAATCCTTCTGGTGCACAACTGAATCACACTTAAACTGGGTAAACATTTCAAGTTACATAGTTGACTGGTGTTCTATCAGTAAACTACTTTCTTATTATATTGGCATGAGTTTAAGAGAGAGAAACTTTAAATTCTCCACTTGGATTTTTTCACAGATCAAATTCTAGAATGATAACACAAGTTGAAAGATGCCATTGTTGTTGAAAGAATCTGGGTAAACTATCGTTCATCTTGTCCAATACACCATAGTTCATAAATTATTCTTGTTAAATGCTAGAGTTACATAAGATGCCGTTGTAGTTCTCTAAGCATGGGAGTTGTCAATTACTTATAATTGTTTTATTAGCGGAATGGATTCAGAGATTTTCTCAGAAATTTACATTTTCCTTTATAATATCAAACTCAAGTTTGTTGATTAGGTCTTTTCCCTTTGCAGGATATTAAAGCACTTTTTCCTTCTGATTACAACCCATTTTATGCGGGCTTTGGGAACAGAGACACTGATGAGCTCAGCTACAGAAAAATTGGGATTCCCAAAGGAAAGATATTCATCATAAACCCAAAGGTAGCTGTGCTGCTCTACAACTTTAATGTTTGCAAGGAATATTTACTATGGCATGGTCCTATTGATGTTATTTCTTAATGACAGGGTGAAGTGGCAATCAATCACTGCATTGATGTGAAATCTTATACCTCCTTGCATACCCTGGTGAATGATATGTTTCCACCCACTTCTTTGGTTGAGCAGGTGTGTATTCATCCATGAAGGATTGATGATCCTGTGTATGGCGATTATGCCGAACATTCTACTAGAAAAAAGAGTCAAAGAACGATGGTCTAGCACTTGCATTTTTAATCTAAATGCATTATGAATTTTCAGTTAATCAATCTTTCGGATAATTGATCTTTTGCTCTGTTGTGCAGGAGGAATATAATTCTTGGAATTATTGGAAAATGCCATTGCCAAACATCGAGGGCTAGTCCATCAAAATAGCATGCCTCAACCTTTTACTGCAGTTCCTGGTGACTAACGATTCCACCATTTTTACCAGCAGCCAGCCAGGCGGTAATTTGGTTCATTTGATTCAAACAAGCAAATTTGTTACTATCGTTCTATTAAGGGGCTGTTTACATTTGTAAATTAGCGATGACTATTCGAGGATTCTTTACTCCCTCCCCTGAGGTCAGTGGTCGGTAAATAATGTTGAGGATAACCTGTAAAGAAATGGTCCCTGTCTTGTTCATTTTAATCTTTATACTTATAGCTTGTACTCTTTTGTAGCTTATCGCCCTAAAGAGTCATATGTTGAAATCACCTGCTTAGTTTTCACTTCATCCAAGTCACAACAGAGGCGAACAAGGCAAAGCTTCTCAAGAACAGTTTGCTGCCATTCCCCAAATGTGAGTTCTACAAAGAGCAGAAAGGATCCAAAAGCAGTTGTACCTTATATAATGCACATTTTTACACAGCTGAGTGATGAAGGTGTTCAATTGTTCATTTGATATTAAACGTAATGCCTAATCTCATGCATTTATCAAACCCTTTGAATTCTTTATTGCTTTCTTTCCATTTAGAATTTACATGATCACCTGCAAATTCCCAATCACTTCTCGATATTAAACTTGCGACGGACTTGAAGTTGAATTGAGACATGACATTTTGAACAACCGCTGCTATTCGGCTTTGCTTGCTGGTTAATTGCAGACTGTTGTAGTAGGTTTGATATTAAAACCAATGAAGAGGACAGGGGAGTCCTCAAACCAAATGGGCAAGCAGGAACAGGAATCTTGTTAAGCTCACCATTTTAGGAACAGGATCTTAACTGCAGCCTTGTCTCGTCTTGTAGTGCACAGACTAAATTAATTAGACTGACCAGCATACTTTCCAAGGAAACAACAGATAGGAAATTGATAAGATGAAGAGAAGAATCATAATCTTCCCTTCAATTTCTTTCACACATCCCCCACCCCACGCCACCCCCACACCGTACCTCTACCGGCGCCCAAGAGACGCGAGTTTTGACCGAGAGGAAGATGACGAGCGTGGCGGCGATCGCCAGAGCTGCGCGTTCTTAACCTTGGAGACGCTGCTTAGAACTCCCAGCGGCGTCACTTCTCCCATCACCGTCACCTTCTTTGTCGCCAAATCTATGTTGAATGATGTCACGCCTGCTTTCCCAAATTAGTGTAGCCTTGCTTAACAAAATCCTTAAGCTAACAGCATGTTGAAAACCATGAACAAAGAAAGGTTGACCGGGTCAAACTTGTGCTCTCACCTTCCATCTTGGAGACGTGCTTTCTGACCTTCCTTTCGCAGCATTTGCAGTGCAAAGAGACCCTCAAATGCACGACCTTCGAAAACACCTCCATCTTAACTTACTACGATCACAGCAACTCAGAAGAATACTAGCACGGAACATAGTCTCTCAAACCTGTTCCTTCGAGGCAGCAGGGGGAGATGGTGGTGGCTTGAAGACGGCGGATTCATCTTTCTTGGCACCCTGAAGCGAGGACGGGTCTGCTGAGGTAACAGGAGCAGCAGTCCCCACGCTGGGGAACACATCAAATGCGTCGTCGTCCAGTAAACCTCGTGAGGAGCCCGGATGACTGCTGCGGCCAGTTGGTTCTCTCGGACTCTCCCTGCTCGTTTGGAAGTGGGATTTTGTCCTGGTGGGAGCATGAGACACGGAGTCGAGAGCAGCCTTTGCTCGCCGCGGATCTCCCAGGTGAGGCGTGTGGCGGTCGATGGCCCTTCCGGCGCTGCCTCGGACCATGGACCTTCGGCCTACGCTGGTGCATATTGCTGCTGATGCTGGGGATGCACAGGGGAAGTTGACTCCCTTCATTTCCTCGAAGAGCAAAGGCGTCGTTTTGAACAAGTGAATACTAGCATGAATGTCTGAGAGAGAGAGAGAGAGAGAGAGAGAGAGAGAGAGAGAGAGAGAGACGTACGAC